GGTTTTAACTATTCAACATACTGAAAGCTGCTGGGCTATCACACCATTAGACTGGAACAAACTGACAAATCAATTTCATCAAGGAGATGACTTTTTTGGAGGGGAGGAAAAAAGGCAGATCTGCCAATCAACAAATCCCTGCATTTCTCACACAGGTGGTTGGACAAAAGCTGAGTGCACCATCAAAGACATTTTATATCTACCAAATGCCTTTGTACAAAACTAACTCCCAGAATCTCCTTAGGGACAGCTCTAAATGTTTAAACAAATATTTTTTGCATATTCAAACTGAGTTATTGAAAAGTGAAAATACTTTTAAATTCCTCCATTTCTTGCTTTGAAAGAAAAGGCGTTCTAATCAAAACCAACAGCAATAGGCAACAATGACAATAAATAATCACTAACCAATTTAAAGAAAGACAGTGAACAATACAGCATATAAAAATACATTGCTTTCTATTTGAGAAGAGTGTACAATGCTTACTGTTAAGACTAATTTTAACCAAATGGTTTTAAAATAAACAATTACTTGGTCCCTAAGAAGAAAAAAAATTCACGATAGGAAGCTTAGAGTAATTTCATGTTCTACTGACAGCAGGTTTCTGGTTGATTCTTTCTCTTCAGTTAAAGCAAAGGCAGCCAACGCCAAACGTTTTATTTTAAAACTATACCTTTTAAAACTATACCTCAGGCTATGAAAGGCCCTAAAATCTCCTGACTTTCAGTTAGAATTTAGTGCAGTGGAGGTCTACTGCTCTACTGCATGAAGAAAACCTGACAAAATGCACAAGTTATATATTTGGTATTTTGACTCGGCTTGACTTTTTAAAACTTCACACTACTGCTCCAGGAAACCTTTGGAAACTCAAGAACAACTCATTTAAGTCATATATTATACACAGCAAACTATTTGAGGAGTTTTCCTTCCTGTTCATCTGAAGAATTAAGCATTGAACTAGCCACTGAATTAGAATTAGGATTCCAGAAGAGCTAAGCGTTGATGTAAACAACTTCACTAAATGTCTGCAAAAATTAAAATGTTGCTAAAATTACTGACAAACCAGTGAGATAAAGCATGCTTTCTCCTTTTTTTTTAAGGGCCTCACTTCAGATCTTACATTAAGTTGTTAAAGATACATAACTTTATTTGTACATCAGTTTCAAAATGTTTAGAAAATTTTTATATTTCTTATTGGTCTAAATTAACAATTTTTGGAGTATTTCTGCTCTAAGCATTTGAACAAAGTAACTGTGAGCAAGTAATGTTTTTCTTTTCAAGAACTGCCTTTGTAAAAAAAAAAAAAATCACTCAGGAGTTCCATGCACTTTAAAATGCTTGGTAAGAGACACTGCAAGATTAAAAGCTCAATCAGAAGGGACTGAATCTAATTGCAATTATAGAATTAAAAGATTTTCCTTCCTAATACTTCTTATCTTTTTTAAAGCTCTATCTTTATAAAATTTCATGGACTGAAAAAGCACTCTTATCTGTTGCAGAAACAAAGCCCTTCCATAAATAATATTGTGTCCCAAAGAATTTTAACCACAACAAGAAACCGATCTATTGAGAGTTTTTCCCTGTTTATGAAAACTACCTCTTTAAATTACAGGATTAAAGAAATGCTGAAAAATTAGATCTCAAACTATTTAAGATTTCAAAAGATCACAGCACTGGGATAGATTCATAATTGAGCCGGGGACACAGGCACGGTAGGAAGAGCTGCCAGTAGTCTCAGTGGCCTGCCCACCTACAGAGACTTTGCAAGATAACCCTATCTTCCTTAGAGCACCGTTTCACCTTTTTGTTTATTCCACAGAAACTAGTTTGTAGTTATCTTTGTACAAAATAGAAATCCAAAACCAGATCCTGAAATTATATAACCCAAAGAAAACAAAAATAACAAAAAAATCAAGGATGAACATGGGTGATTCTAGATGTAGGAAATAAGTTGTTTCTTTTGATCATTTGAAGGGAAAGATTTTTGTATAACAGTTACCAGGGTACCTAGGAACTATGTGTTCCATTTATAAGGAATAGAAACAGCCTGAAATCTATAACAAGTGAAGCATCTCTTCACAGAAATGTACTGTCGTTCACCCCATCTTTCCAAGAATATTTAAAGGAATTTGAAGCTCCTGTCTTGAACTTGAACTACTTTTAGTGCTAAAGTCTTATTTTAAGATTTATGATCATAAAAGTTAATTTCCCAAACAAACAAAACCAACCCATCCATTCAGCCCCATTCACCAAACCCCGAACAAAAGCCCTGCAGGGGGCTGAGTCCAGAGAAAACGAAGACAGAAGTTAGTCCAAGTTGTCAAAGCCACTGCCAGGGAACAGGTTAGATGAGAATGATGCCACCACAGACACACATGGCACTCGGAATGAGGTGAAGGCACAGAAAACAGTAAATCACATTTGCAAGCACCCAATATAATATTTTTCCATTATATTTCCATGCAAAATCCTGGAAGATATCATCTTTATATATCCTAAAGTCACACATGGAATTATAAACAGCTGATGCAGACACTATTCCATCCATTAGCACCACTGCCATGAGAAAAGATACAGCGACGCCATGGTACAGATTAAACACATGTTGATGCCTAAATCTGCATTTCTCAAACCACCACAGCCAGAATATCAATTTAGTTCTACTTATACCTTAGTAACATAAAGGTCACTTGTTAAAATCTTCATTTAAAATACATTCCAGTGTGTTTTTTTTAATGCCTACTTTCGATGTGTTGAATTCAAAATATACATTTGCAATTTTTAAAAATTATTTTTAAATTATTATTCTTAATACCTTGCCATTACCCTTCCATTTTCCAACTAAGATCAGAGAAGCATTTGCTTACCTGACCTACCTTTCAGGCATTACGTTTTTGGGAAAGAATCATGTTATTTTGGTAATATTTACTGAAGGGACATATTAAAGGCATCTATAGAGCAGTGTTAGTACACAAAGATGTAAGGGAAAAAATTACAAGAAGTAACCCAGACTCTTAGTAAGGTTCTTGTGAATAAAACACAGAGTTAAACTTTTTTTCTCCCTTCATTCATTACTGTGGTAATGTTCGTCCACCTCTAGTCTGGGTTGTGCTACTTGTTTCTTTTTGCACTACCTCCATCCTCTGTCTCAACTCTAAACCAATGCACCTTTAGGGCTTCTCTTGGTTTCTATCCACAAGGTCCCTTCCAAAAATTTAGACTATCTTCCCAGTCCTGATGAGGTATTCTGTATGCATAAACTATGTTTCACTTTTTTCTTCTGCTAGCCAAAAAAGAGAAAAAAGAAAATTACAAATAAGGATACACGATAGATATTCTTTAAGCTTGATCATCAGTGAAATGGAAGAGCTTTACATTTATCAAGGAAGAAAACTCAGAGTCAACAAGGAAAGATACATAGAAAAGACAACTGGCTAACAGCAAGGAAAAGAAAGATCTGCCACAGATGCTGACTGAGCATGATGCTGCATTTCAAAAAGCAAATGCATTTGAAACTACTGCTGTTCTATGAAACTACTACTGTTGTTGAAAATGTTCTACAATCAGTACCTCTCTTGCATGCCATGCAATCAGCTACAGAATAAACCCTTTTCAAGAATCTGAAGTGGTTGTTGATTTATTTTTACGTCTCTTACTTTTCTAAAGCCACCCAGATAAGAACCACCTTCCCTGGTAACATCCCTGACTTTATACACAGCCATTCTGAGATACAAAGGAGTGCTACATTCACGTCAATGTCATATTAACTTTGAAACCTGGTAATTGCTCAAATGTCAACATTAGATGGGATTTTCAAAGGTGCTTAGGCAATTAGGCAATGTTATGATTCCAAAACACATCCCTGAAAGCACCAGGCACTGTCAACCACTTTACTGCTGACCACCTTAGCAGAAAGACCCAAGCAGCGTATCCATGCTGCAATTCCAAACGTCTTCTCACTAAGCCAAACCTACCCTCAACAACTTCCTTGCCATTCTTCTATCTGGCAATACTACTGTGAGGTAGGGAAGTGCTGTTATTTCCATTTTTGCTTGCTGTTCTTTTATCTGGCAATACTATTGTGAGGTAGGGAAGTGCTGTTATTTCCATTTTACATGTCATGTCAATCCAGGAGGAGCAGGACACAGGAGCTGTACGCTGGCCCTCAATAACTTAACAATACAATGCGGTTGTGAACTAAAAATATCTGCAACTCACCCAGAACTTAGAGAGCGAGTTCAGCATACGTTATTTTAAACAGCAAAGTAAGCACTGATTGCATTATTGTTCACGTTTGTGAACTAAAAATATCTGCAACTCGCCCAGAACTTAGAGAGCGAGTTCAGCATATGTTATTTTTAACAGCAAAGTAAGCACTGATTGCATTATTCACATTGAAAAAGGATGCTCCATTTTTTAATCTAAATTAAGCAACTATGAAGTTTATGGCCTGCCACACCACAACATGCAGATCCAGGGAGCTTGCTTGAGAACCTCTACTTGTTAGACGCCACACGGTGCCTCACAAATACCCATTCCGAAAGGCACGCGCACAGGAAGGGAAAAAAATGCACAGATCCAGAAACAAGTAACTGAGGGGTACACACAGAACACTGATTTCCTTACACCAAAGGAGCACCAAGTTTTTGTAGCATAATAAGTGTAAGATGTCTTCCACAAGTATACCACAGTGTAACTGTTAAAGGAATACCAAGCCACACGGCATATACACAGCAGTAAGAAAGTCCTATTCATACAAACTAATTCTGATACCTTAGCCAAAAAGATAACTTTTTGTCATACTAAATGTCCAGCGTTCAAGACATGTTAGTTCTAGAAAGAAAGAGTTCCTTTTTTCCTTACCTTCAATTATTTTTGCCCCAAACAATTAAAGCATATTCATCTGAACTGGAAGCTAATACCAAAGCAATCCTGTACAAATCTCTAATTTATTAATACAGCAGGCAAAACTGAAAAGCATTTAATGAGTGACTCTCCTTACCTTCAGCACAGCAATGAATGGAACAAAATTAGCTCTCTGAAGACCATTTTTATAGAGATCTGAAAGAAAGGAAATCAGTACCATTTTGCTACTTAGTCTTAATAACAATGTCAGCATGTCTTTTAGTCTAGCAAATAAAACTGCGTTGCCAGAGAGAAAAGGAACAAAAGTGGGAAAAGGAGAACTGAAATTGATTTATCATCTTTTACTGTATGAAAATTCAATACATTCTTAAGGAAGAAAGGAACATCCTGAGAAAGTCTGAAAAAGGCAGGGAGTGAAAGATGACTTAAATCTCTAACGAGATATAACTGATTTTAGCAGAAGGAATAAGGCCAGCATCTGCTTTAAAGTAAGGATAAAAAAAAAAGATTTGCAATGCTGGGTACACACTGGTACGATTATAAGGCCAGAACTACACAAATGCTAATTCCCAAGTATTTGGTAAAAGAGAAAAAACAAACTTAAACTAAAAATATGCTATTTGAGTTTACAAAGTTAGTATCATTCCTATTCAGTGTACTGTGGTACACTATCTTCTTAGCAATTCTACCAAGTACGCCCTTTTCCCAAAGCAAGAAAAAGGGTCATCCCTAAGGAGGAAAAAAAGAAAATTAAATGAGTATGTAACCTTATGCAAAGTTGCTAAAAACACAACTGAATTTTAAATATATATATTTATATTAGGATGTTATGTAACAAAATGCAGATCTGTGGACAAAGAAAATACAAATGAATAAAAAAAACCTGCAAAGCAGCATTTCATATCTTATTTATCTCTATATTTTATATAGCATAAAGTTCTCCTCTCTGGAAACTATTCAACCGCCTAACATGTTCACAACAGAATTACTTTTTCATTGAAAATGTTATCACTTAGACTGTATGATGGGCTGCTCTGTTTCATGAGTATTAGGAAGCCTTATAAAAAGTCCATACAGCACATACTACTGACAGGAAGAATAAATAAGAGAACACAGACTCCTGGCGGAGTTGTCACTAAAATCCCCTGTGAAGACCACACCACGTTATTAACACCATCTATGTTCTCCATAATGCCTGAAGGCTACAACTAGACTAAAGCTTCTATGCTCCACCAGCACCATGGTGGACAGAGGGTACAGTATGCATGAGAAACCAATAGGATACCTACAGAATGATTTTCACAATATTGGATACACACACAGAAACATTTAGGAAAATTATCAGTGAAGGTGACTACACCCTAATTACTAATAAAGTTGTATGAAGCCATGTATCATTCTCATTCATAACTCTACAAATCACAATAGCTACACATTTATTAAAACAGCAATCAATCCTGTATTTACTTGCAAAAATTAGCAAACACGTAACAGTACTGTAGGACAGCTATTTCTGTTAGTTTTTCTAGTTAATAAGGCTGTGAGTTTTGCATCATGTCTTTCTTTGAGGATGAGAGAAAAAAAACAGTAATTTTGTTGAAGAAATGAAGCCAGTATTCCTCAAACACTGCACCTCAGTATTTCCCCTCATATTCCTCTGGGGCAGAAGTTTAACATGGTTAAGTTTATCACTAATGGTCAGTAGCTGGGTACATCTGCTTTCTAATGAAAAAGCCACTTTCCTCCTTTGTATCCACAAGAAACGAATCTCTCAATTCAGTCTTAAACCTTGATGCAGCACACGACACTAACCCAATGCTCTTTCTGGTGGGAGGACTTGAGACACACTGTGAGCATGCAGGATTAGTGAGAAGGGAAGAAGAGACATGCAGTGACATTTGGAGTGCAATACAGCTCGGTTCTGCAGATGCCGTTCTTGACATTCTCTGTTGGGTAGCTATTACAAGTGGATGTCTTTCAGGTTGACACATTGACTTAATGCATAACCCCATACAACAATAATGGTCACAAATTCACATCTCAATTTAAGATATGGGATATGATCCCCAAGTTATAATAAAAATCTCTCCTGAACATTAAAGAGCAGTGCTTCAAAAAAACCAAGGATAGTTCCCAACTATTTCATTTCCCCTCTCTTCTACAGAATACAATCTTTTCCTGTCCTGGAATACATCCAAATCAGAGGCAGTATTTCATCCCTCCTCAACTCCCCTGTTCCCAAATACGTTCCCACTGGTTTGGATAGAGTAGAGAAGATCAGAAAACACAAAAGGATTTGGGGGGAAGTAGAGGGAGGAACATCTTGAGTCTGAGATAAGAGAGGAGTGAGACTTAGTGAAAAACCTTTCTTCCTTAAGAACATGAAAAAAAAAAAAGAGGACAAATGGGAGTGTCACAGATTCTTGAAAAGTAGAGAGTTTATTAGTATTAAATACTGATGATTTTAATATGATTGTTTTGTAAGTTACTGACATTCATTGTATTTGGATAATATTAGCAACATGTTTGTTTTTACCTTCTGGTGGCCTGTTAGATGTTGCCACAACGACCACCCCATTTTGGAACAGATTTTCAAAAAGCTGCTTCAGAATCATGGCATCAGCAATGTCAGTGACCTGTAGAAGACAACACATTTGTTTTATCTTGCTTTCAGTTTTTGCCGCAATAGATCTGCAAGTGGCTTTGTAGCTAGAAAAAATGCCTGTTAGTGAAAGCCATAGAGAAAGATTCTAATTATTGCTTGATGAGAAAAATAAAAGGGATAATTAATAAGCAGTGAATGTACCACAGTCTTTCAAAACTTGCCCACTCTTTACTGCAGAACTCCACCATTTCTTTACCAATTGCTAAATGATTCCATGTTAACTTCTATTATAAAACTACAGGTGGGAGACCCAGAAAACAGACTTACAGATTTAAGAGACCTAATTAATTAGAAACAACATGAAAAAAACAGAAGACAGAAAGAAAATACACACTGGCTGTTTTACATTTCTATTACCTTTGAGGCAAAGGTTTGCAGAGGTGAATTTAAATGGTCATGGGACTTCAGAAATAAAGACAAGTAGCCAACTATACAAAATCAGCTGCTGTTGAAAATAGAATGATATGACATAGATACTATTGTGTGATTGTTGCAAAAAACAATTCAACAGATGGCCCATCACAAAAATAAGCAATTTCATTGTTCTTTTTAAGTGCCTTCTATTACTGTCCATGAATAATCAAAAGGCAAGGCAGTCACTTCCAGCACAGTCAGCCTCTTCTAACCTTCAGGCACAAAACACGAATAAAAAATAAAAATGGGTGGAACAAATGATACTGTGGAGGAAAAAAAAAATCCCTAAAAAATAAGCCATAAAGTAAAATTTCTTTAAATATCTAGGTTTAGCTTAACAAACTTGCTTTACAGTAACAAGAAATATAAGGAAACAGAAACCAGTCTGTACAAATGAAAAAAAATATAAATTTTTGTGAAAAAAGCCCATTGTTACAACAGCAATTTATAATTTATAATTCAGAGGAGTTCCCTAGAGATTAGCAATCCTAATAAGTACACCATCTTTATTATTTACACTTGTTTCTCCTGCATTCCCTTTGATTATTATTTAGACACTTGTTGCATTTTGACTTACAAAAACAGACCCCAATTCTAAGGAAATAAAGAAATGGTGGCATGCTGAGAGTTATATACACTCATTGCACAAAAAGTTGGCAGATTGCTATGCCTTCATCAGTTTAGACGTATATGTTGTGATGGGAATACATCTATAGAAAGACTTTAACTAGTATAATTTCTTTCCCTCTTCCACCAC